TAGAGGTAGGTCGGGCGAGGGCGTTTGCTCGATCGTCACAGCATAGGAATGGGGTACGCGCGGTAAGACGCCTATGAATGACCAGTCGGTCAAGTCAGGTTTAGGATATGATCTCCCTATCCTGGACTTCTAGATATTCAGGTCGAACTTTTTAGAAGGCTGTTTATTTCCGCTTCTGACTCTGAAACATATTATTCTCTTCCCCAAAGTGAACAGGGTATCAATCAAATCACCTTACTACCAATGTCATTCTATTTCTCTGAACAGGTTATGGCTTAACTGATCAGCTGATAGTATAGAAGTTAAGCAGGACAGACAATGAATATGAGAGTATTACCGCCGATAACCCTTCCCACTTTCACTAGTGTTGTGTGACCGAGACCCTTCAACAGATCAGACTCAATTCAATCTAAAATCACGCATAAAACATACCTGCACAAAATAATGCAACGACAGTTCCCACGCTATGCACTAACAACGTAAACCATCAACCATTGTCCTTGTCCCTCACTTCCCAAACCATGTAAGACAACCCTATCTTTCCTGAGACGTAAGCCCACCCCCCTCACATTTCTTCAAAGGACCCTTGAGAGTGACCAGGACCATTAAGGCAATGACCACAGGTGACAGTTTTACTGACCACATGGTTTGACTTTAGAGGTGGGTATCAAGTCAAAGAGGAAAAGTTGAATCGGTAACAACGGACTTATTATCGAAAGATAACATAAATTTTGGCCTTTTTTGTAGAACCTCTTCCTTGAAATGTAGTAGATAAATAAAATCTACACACACATAGGTCAACAAAGATTCAACACCCTCACTCGATTTACCACATATTGATCAACAGAAAAATTCCCACGAGAAATGAAAGTTGAAAAATCATTCCAGAAAAAAAAAATCCATCATGTTTATGAATTATCATTCCAATGTTCGTCAAATTCTAAAATTTGCATTTTTATTTGATAAGTTCTCGTCTAAATACGAGCTTTCCCTTCCAACTACATCTATTTGTTTAAGATGGAATGAAAGTCTGGACGAGTTTATGAAATTTTTTAATTAAATTTTTATTTTACTACAATAAATATCTTCTCATTTAGATTGGACTAACCTATTTATGACTGAAAATCCTTACTTAGAATGACAGTCCAATTAAAATATTTCATGAAGTTGTCCAGACTTTCATTCGATCTCTAACATACAGTCCAAATAAGAAGGGATACGCTATTCTTAGAATGAAAGTTTGCGAGTAAGATGAAAAATTTTAAAATTGAAATTATATTTTTTAAGATAGAATGAAAATTTGAAATTTAGATTGTACTTTTACTATAGAATGATTATTTAATTCAGGAATTTTTTTTCGTTGATATCTAAGGATCAAGCCCTTAGACATGGGTAGTGAGCTCTGGGATCAACATCCCACGTTTAATCCTTAATTTTACTTTCACAACCCTACCCTAAGCCGTTTGTCACTCTCTCCTTTCACTCAAGGAGTCGCATGCCTGTGTCCTTAGTCGTCTTAAGGAAACCTATATTTCCCCTACTCTCAGTCCTTGCATTTTCTCTCTTGGAGATAAGCGCACCGTTTTTCGCTTATGTAGATGAGATATAACTCATTCATCGTTGTGGCCTTCCATCCGAAAGTCATGGATGACTATGAACTACGTGGTGGTTCTTAAACCTCTTTCTCTCGCGGTCCTGACTCTCTTCTCTTTATTCCTTTTATTGGTTCTTGAGATCTTGCTCCAACGAGAGCATTGTTTCTTCCTTTTTCTTCTATTTGTGTTAACATTCTCAAGCAGCAGGTCGATTCAAACATGAATCTCTTGCTACTTGATCAATACCAAGCAATTTGTTAATCAATCAGACAGTCGAGTAAGTCTCACATGAGTATTTGATTTCCTCTTTAGTTTCACTCAATGTTATATATAAGATCTGTTCAGAGTAATAGGATAGCTCACACATGAGTATCCTTCCTATAGCAAATACCTGAGGCTCCCACAAAAGCACCCTACTACTTGTTTTAGGTATCATTCTGAAAGATCTGGATGTCAACCCCTTCCCAGAGGTTAATAACGGTCTGAGTGAATAATAGGCGACCCGCACAAGAGCCCCCTACTATCACGTGATAAGGGCCCCTTCATGAGTGCATAAGGATAATCCTAACAACGGTATCCTGTTGCACTTCCGAAGTTGATCGACTTGAGACCATGTTAGTTTGGGTGGAAAACGAGTGTTTGAGGTATTCATACAGGAGTACCCCCTTCGTAAGTTAGTATGGAATTAAGTAGGTAATAGGCAGATCCCAACAAAGTTCCCCCAACTACTTCCTTGGTTAGTGAGTAGTCCATCCTTTAAACAAGTAATAGGATGACTCCTACAGAAGCCTCCCTATTACCGGTCCGGTGGTCGGAGTGCCCGAAGGTAAGCAAGATAGGAAAGAAGGAGTAACATTGTGATTTCCTATTCTTTGCAGGTTGTTAGCTAGCCTTAGACTCAAGTGCATGAATAGGATGACCCTCCTGGGAACCCCCTACTACTCTTGGAATAAGTGTCAAGACCGAACTTGTCCAAGTTGTTAATAAGGAAAGAAGTGAGCATCAAAACCCCTCACTTCTCACATCATGCAGATAACTATTTAATCAAGGTGGTGAGGTAACACACACATGAGTACCGCCACCTTCTGATTTTGCCGGCCATTCCGATCTCATAAGGCCGGTGTCCAACCCAAACATGGGTCTTCCATCACCTCCGAAGACTAGTTTGATAGGCTGACAGGGCGACCCTCACAGGAGCCTCCTACAATCGTTTTTCTAAATGTAAGACGATTCTTTCTTCACGACGACAGTCGATCAGGCAGGTAACTCACACATGAGTACCATGTCGTCTCTCAGTTGTGTTACTCGGTCGAGTCTCGATCGTCGAATATCACACCCAAACATGGGTATCCCATTTGCCTTTCAAGACTAGCCCGACATACCATCTGGTGCGACGTGCACAAGAGTCCCCCACTATCACTTCTGAGGGTTAGACGAATCTCCCTTCACGACGACAGTCGATCAGGCAGATAGTAGGGTAACTCACACATGAGTACCCCACCGTTTCGTCCTCTGTTGAGTTAGTGCATGCCCAATCAACACGGCGACTCACACATGAGTCTCTGCCGTACCACTTTTTCCTTCAAACCCAAGCAGACTAGGTTCCTTCTCAGTTTAATTAAGATCCATTTCCTTTTATCAGGCAGAGTTTTTATTTCAATTATATAGTCTTTTCGTTTTTGATACACCTAGTCCTGACAGGAATAGGCACCTCGTATCTCATGCTGTCAAATAGAAAGTTGTAGTTTGTAAGGGTATATGGGAAAGGAATAGGCACCTCGTACCTCATGGTTCCCTGCCTCCAAAGTTCCACCTTAACTCCGGCAGAGTTCCCGCAATTGCCCTGTTTACTCGGTCACATCTAGTCATTGTTATTACTTGTCCGATCCTTAAGGTCGGGAAAAGCCAAAATCGCCTCAACGGGAACACACCAATCATAGTTGAAGACACAGGTGTTTTGAGAAAACCAAACGATGATAAGTACGGAGGAGGATGGAGGAGGCAGACACCACCACATAGTGACAATGCCTCTCTCCTCTCCAATGCCCCACACTCTCATTATCGGTGACCCATGATGTTTATTAATAACCATAGCAAAATAACAAAAATAAATAATAATAATAATAATAATAATAATCACAGTAATACTAATAATAATAAATAAAAAATAAATAAAAAATAAAAATGATAGCAACAATAATGATAATAAAAAGAGTTAGTTTCCTGTCACTTTCTTCCTTTTATCCTCCTCTTTTCATTTATTTCCTTTCCTTCTCTCTTCTTCTCTTCACCTTCCTCCTTTTCACTCTTCCTATTCCTTCTTCTTTTCCGGCATCCCCCTTCTTTTTAGTCTCTTTTCCCTTCATCACACAATCCTGGGCTAGGCAAACCGCTCGCTGCTTTGTATGCTAGTTCCATAAGATCATGAGTGTATGCTAGTTGTCCAGCCTGATTGCAAGACTGTGTGGGCGCATGCTTACTGCCTTGCGCACCAACCGCGTGTAGTTAGTGCTCCATTGTCTGGCTGCGACCCACGTCACGTAGAGCCCGCTCGTGATTGTGGGGATAATGCTGCGTTCCCAATGGTCCGCGGCCACTTCAGAATGGATTGACCTTGCGCTGCGTGCCCCTGGGCGCATCGACCCCCACCCTGGGCTCATCTGCCTGATGCACTACTTCTCTCGGAAGGGCCCAGGGCGTAGCACATGTTGCACCTTCGACCAACTAGTATGCAACATTTGTCTGAGGCCCACCTTGGAGAATTCTGAGGAAAGGGCCCCTGACGATCATTCAGGCCCGCCTTCACTTAGGGTGGGCACGAGGTCGGCTGGCGTCACAATTTACAGCGATGCCAGTAGTACTACGCAATAATAATAATAATAATAATAATAATAATAATAATAATAATAATAATAACAATAATAATAATAATAATAATAATAACAAAAATCAAAAAAGGATAAATTAATATAATAATTATAATACCAATACTAATACGAACCTGCTCCCTCAATGTCTTTATGGCTTCCGGGTCCGCCATATCGTGCGCCGCCACCACCTCCATTGCCTTATTCACATCGTTAAGGCTCAGGGACAGCACCTCGCCTGCTCCTTCCCCCTCTTGTTCCTCCCGGAGTCTCCGCCGCGCGTATTCCGACTCCTCGAAGGTAAAGGAGCCGAGGTTGAGCCTATTCCTCGCACTTCCGGGCCCTGTGTTCCGGCACTTGATGATTTCGTAGTTTCCGCAAGCCGGATCAGATAGAGCCAGGATCATCGTCCCCTCATGCCTGTTGAAGACCAAGGTCTCCGTCTGGCAGAGGAACGACCTCCCCAGAAGAATAGGGTGGTCGACGTCGGGCATGACGAAGAAGGACGTTCGCGCCCTTACTCTCCCAATCTCCACCATCACATTAGACGCGGTGCCGCAAAAAATGGCCCTTCAGTTGGCGCCATGCAACACCCCATGGTCCGAATGGTCGACCTCCAACCCCAACATGGTCGCGTCCCGCTCCCGGATGATATTCATCTCCGCGCCCGTGTCCACCATTGCGATGCTCGGCTGGTCCTCCACCTTCAAGTCCACCAACCCACATGCCACACATTTCCAATCCATCCTGGTGCCTGCCTCTGTCCACTCTATCTCCCYAGGCAGAATTGAGCTCAGGTGGACATTGGGCACTAATCTTCGCGAGAGCCGCCCTTTCAGCTCACCACGGAGCCTGGGTGCCGAGGCCAAAATGTCCTTWAGATTCATCAAATCGTTATGGCYTTCCAGGAGCTTGTCGACCATTCGCTCCACATCAAAGCCTTCCTCCAGCCGGACCGCGTACTTTTTCCTCTTTGGCACGCCATCATACAGACTCGGCTCCGCCCCTCCCTGAGCCCCTCTCTTCTTGGCGCTCTGTTCCGCCCTTCGGTCCTCCTCCTGCCGGAGCCTCTCGTCCTTTTCGTCATCACCCTCATCTTCCTCTTCTTGAACCTCTACCACTTCCTTCCTTCGTTCGGGCTCAGGGTCCTTTCGAGGGGGCGCCCGACTGGGTGCCTGGTTAGGCCCTTGACTGGTGGTAGCCTTACTTTGGCCCCTAGTCTGCGCGGCCTGAGGTACCCTTCCATACGACGTAGGGGGTCTGAAGGTCATCCCTGACCTAGGACCTGCCCCGACTGTCGCCACGCTTGGACATCCTAGTGGTCCTGACGACGACTCCGGACCGGACCCATAGAGCATCACCTCAGGAAGGCTCATTTCCCATTCCCGGGCCTTTTCACACATTGCCCTTAGTCGTTCCTGATACCTGCCGACCTTTGCAAGTAGGTCCTCCATCCTCTCCAGGATGGTCGAGGCTGACTCTCTCACCACTTCCTGCACCTCATCGTCAGACTCAACAACGATGGGTTCCTCCTTTATAGCCCCCGCCTTCAACCGCTGAGTTACTACCTCATTTTCATCCACAATCTCCTCGACTCTTACGCCGGGGTCTTGCCTTTCCTGCCATATCCTAAACATTGTTGGGGCTGCTGGAGGCCCGGTCGCTGCCCGCCTGAGGGCTTCCTGCCTGATTCCTCCCGGGGTCTTGGGGTCAATATGTTTTCCCCACCGATTGTATATATCCCCGTCCATACAGGTGGAGATTAATCCTGCCTTTTCGTCGTCCCGCCGCTGTTGGCAGAATCGTACGGTGTGGCCCACCTCACCACAATGCCAACAAGTTGCGTTCCGCCAGTCGAAGCGGGGTCTCCCGTACCCTTGGCCCCCTCCCTCGCTGCCTTAGCCACCTTGGTTCTGACCCCCTTGACCATTCCAGCCTCCTCCACGGGGTCCACCATTTCCTCCTCGCCCCCGACCGCCCCCTCCTCTACCTCCTTGGCCCCGGCCCCCATTGCCCTGCCCGCCTTGTCCTTGGCCTCCTCCCCCAGCCACACTAGCTTGCGGGGCCTGCTGGGAGGGCGGCGGTTGAGTCACGGGCTGGCTTTGAGTCGCCGGGTAGCTCAGGGGGCCCATACTTGCGGATGGGCCTGAATAGGGGACCATGTGCCCCGCGTGGGCCTGACTCTCTCCACACGAGACGCAGTGGTTACAACTGGGCCAGGGCGTACATTGGCAATGCGGCACCCAGTGTCCACAAGATGGCGGCGGCCCCATGTGCGATGATCCGGCTGGCGCGGGCGCTGGGGCGGCCGCGGCGACAGGTGGTGGTGCGGCAAGGGCTTGGGGAACCTGCCCTTTCCCTGATCCCTGTCCCCCCAGTAGCAGATTACGCTGCTTCCTCTGGGCCTTAGTCAGGGCTTGGGAGCCCGTCTCCCCTCCGCCGAAGTCTTCACGCCCTGTCTCCTCATCTCTTACTCCTGACGCCCATCCTTGGGCCACTGCCACCACTCTTTTCTGTAGTTCTGCTTCGCTATCATACCCTTGTGCCGCCAACACGTCCGTGACTATCCTCTTCACCCCTGGGGTCCCGGATGCAGTTGCATCCCTCTCCTTCTTCTACTCCCTTGTCAATGGTTGCCCAGGTGAGCCTCTCGCTTCCTTCCCCATACTTCGTCAACTCTGTGGCCTCCGAGCCTGTAAGCAGCCCCAAAAATGTGGCGCACTGCGTCTCCTCAGAAATCCCGTGCACTTTCCTCGCCCTTTTCTTGAACTCGTGCACAAACGCCCCAATGGTAGAGAAGTCTTCCTTGTTCATGGCCTCCAAGTTGGCCATGGTCAACAGGCCGTCCCCCAGCCTATACTTCCTTCGCATTAGGTCTCCAAACTTTGCCCAACTGCGACCGGTGGTGTCCACAACCTTAGTTACTTCCCGATGGTGACTGTGCAGGACATACCTCAGGACCCGCTGGAGCTTGACCTCATCTGACAGTCCCACCAGCGCCTGCTCTGTCAGATCCAACCAATCAGATACCCGATCCCCTTCGAAGTGGAATGTCTCGACTTTTGGGACGTTGCTCGGCGCCCTCTCGCCCTTGTCCAGAGCATCGATGAGGTCATCGAGAGTCACAAGCTTCCTCCCACCGTCCGCCATCTCTTCTTGCATCTTAGCCACCAGCCTTCGACTCCAATCTTCCTATTATAAGAGAAGATGGGATAAAGGACCCCACTCAGCGACTCAAACTTTCATGACCCTATCGAGTTGACCACCTTAGACACCGCACACTCTAGACCTGACAGACATTCCTTCTCCCATTTCCCTTGGGCTCATCTAGATAATGCTTATCCTTACCGTAGAACTTCCTCATCCACGTACAACACTCAGCTGCCACCCAAACCGCCAATCAATCAATCATCCAACCTTTAGTCATATAGATCACCATACGGTCCGTCTCATAGTCCTTCTCTTTTCCCGCTCATATGCCTAGTTCTCCCTCACTCTCGTACCCAGATGTCGTTCCACCAGGGACAACGGTAGGCTTTCGTTATTCCCGGCAACGGCGCCACCTGTCAAGCGCATCGGTCCGGCACCGCACGCGGCGGCGCGAGACCCTCTCGGCCGCGTCACGCAGGAGTTGGACCTACCTCGTCACGAACACGCAGATGGAGCTTTCTTAGGCCGCTCCGGCCGAGTGCGCCAGCCATACCTCTCGCAAACCCCTACGACAGGATAGGGCCTACGCGAGGCACAACTTACCTTCACCTTACGGGAGCTGTCACCTCCCTTCGGTGGGCGTATCCCCGCCGAGCTACCAGTCCACAATACGAAAGCTACTCGGTTGCAATCGCAGAGGTGGACCAGCCGAGGGCGTTTCTCGTTCGCTGTAGCATAAGGGGTACGCGCGGTAACACGCCTATCGGACCCGCACGCAAACCGACATCTTGGGGGGCTTAAGTCCCAAGCGCGGCTCGTCGTCGGTCGACTAGGACACATCCCACATACCACGCGCACACCACCTTACGGACACAAAAATAAAACACACACGCACGCACATACAACATGACACAACACAAGCAACGCGACAACGCTCCCAGTCCCTTCGGTAGTCGTCCCATAACTTCCCAATACGGAAATCGAGTGGGCGTCGCGCGCGAGACCTAATATAAAATCCGTGCGGACGTAGGGCTAACTCACACTGACTCGCAATGCAAGCATACGCACGCGGTCGCAATGATGGCGTATCATATAGTACCCATACTCACGTGGTCCTCGTTACTCTCGAGGGTCGCGTTCGACACTCAAGTGTCGGCTGACACGCGCCTAGAGGGTTAATCTCTCGACGCTGAACAATCGCCATGCGCGGTTGGAGACCACACACCCTCTTCTGCACCCTTATGCAGAGTGGGTGGTACACAGGCCCATGCCTGTGGTGGTAGTCGTCTCTCGCAGCCCTAGGGATGAGTCCTCCCCGGGGTCTGGGCGAAAGTTAAGGGGCTTGACTTTCACGGCTGCCACGGACTACAACGTCCAACCATAAAAATCTCTAAGAAGCAACAAGACTCGCACGAACCCAAGAAGAGGGGATAGGGCTAAGGTCTCCTGGCCTTTAAAACAAAAACTCATGGCCTTGGGACACACTTCCCTTCCGTGGGCGGTGCCGGCGGCCTACAATAATCTTAAGCACTGCGCCTACGCGCAAACCCGGCGGTCCCATAACTTTTAGACGCGGGGGTGGCGAGGCGCCGCGCGCAGGGTTCTGATATAAAACTGCGCGGCCGCAAGCCAACCCTATGCCAACTACTGATGCCAATCATATATGGTAACCGCGGTTTCGGCCTCACGATATTGAATGGCTGAAGGAACTCATCGTGGGGGGGGGTACCCCTCATGATATTGAACGGCTAAAGGACACGTCGTTCGGCCCTTGCGACATTTCTGCTTTTCAGGCGGGGTGTCCCGCCGGCCAAAATAAACAGGCTCTATGCAAGGGGGGACTCCTCCCCTTCAAGGCCTAGGGCTTGGGATGTCCTGGACAAGGACCTCGAATCCTGGCCTAGGACCAACGTCCGACTAAGAAAGCCCCAAGGCGCAAGTAGGCAGAAGGAAGGGTCTTCCCTGTCCCTCAATCCCAACTCTCACGCGGTTGTTAAACCACCAGTACCCTCCGGAGCACTTCGCCGAACCGTTTTTTTTTTTCTTCTTTCCGAGCCTGCTGGGCCTTTCAGTTGATGCCCAGCCTTCCTCAAATAATTGAGGAAGGCCCTCGATTTTGCACTTGAAGCTTGCTTGTCTGGACGTAGGTGTCGTATGTGTTGGAGTATATTTGCGACAGTCCGTGGGGATTACTGACATTGAACTTCCACTATTCACGGACTGCTGCGGCAAGGATTGGCGGAGGAGATCTTGTTGAGGTAATTTTTTTTCTATTTTGTTTTGTTTTT